CAAGCACACACACTTTCACTGGAGTGTCAGCATGTTTTTCTCCTCCCTCTGAGGGAGCAGGGAAAATAAATTGTAGACGTCAGGGTACTTGCTTATACCTTAACGCCCCATGTAAAAGAAATATTTAAATTAATCTGGTGAAAATCTTTGCAACTCTTAGCCAAGACTCGTAAAGATCCGATCTTAAACAGTTATATTCTTTGTTTAAATTATCACAAAACATTAAAAAACTGCTCTACATGTCAGTTTTACAGTGTTATTTTTATTTATTAGACCTTTATTTATACAGGTTAGTTCACATTTAGCCTCAAAGACTCATTTATAAGAGAGACCTATAATTACTGGCAACCTTTGCAGCAGCTGTCTTGAATCAGGGTCTTTCCCGAATTGTTAAAATTCATCCATTGATTCACAAGTTATTTTGCTAACAGGCAGGATTGACTCCACCAGTTAATGCCAAATTTTAATCAAATATCTGACACAACATGTTAGCTCTTAGAGAATGCATTGGGAGTGAAGTCATGAAAAGATTACAATGATGACCGTAGCCATGGAAACGTGTTTTATACAAGAGGTTCTGTGAGAACGTGTAAGTTGAGGAAAGACACAGAACCCCAAACAGAATTGTGACCAAGCTTTATTTCCACGATTTATAAGTTATCGTCGTACAAATATTTCGCTATAAGAGTATAAGTTTACGAAGCATTTGTGAATATTTTACAAGTTTACAGTGGTCCCGCGCTACTTCGCTTTTCACGGACTCGCTCTATCGCGGTTTTTCAAAGTAAGATTGGACATGACACACAGTTGGCTGATTGATGGATGAGCCGCACGATCGGCACAAATTTTTATTTAATATAAATTATTTTAAATTATTTAGCACCTGCTGCACCCTTGTGCAGCCCACAGCTCCGGAGCTCCGTCTTGCAGTTGATCAGCTGATCTCTGCTCTACCGCAGAAAAGTGGGCGTGGCCGAGAGCAACCATGGCCGAGAGCAGAAATCCTGACATTCTGCACTCTTTTAGAGCGTTTAGAGTTTAGAAACATTGTTTAGAAACATTGTTTAGAATACTGAAAGAGTGTAGGAAGGGTTTAAAACACCTTTATATAATATAATACTAAAATAAACTACTATTTACTACTTGTACTACTATTCCTACTTCACAGATTTTCACTTATTGCTTGCTTCAGGGTACAGATACCCAGTAATAAACGATGGAACTACTGTACTTATTAATTTCTTGTTTTTTTGTTGTTTTTTTTTACTTCTTATGTTCCTTTTCATTAACAAGGAGGTGCTGTAGCACGCCCAGCACCTCCACTTCCCATGGCCTTGATGATGACTGTAATGTGAATAACTAAAGGAACTGAGAAAATATAAATGTTAATAAGAAAAAAAAAAAAAAAAAATATATATATATATATATATATATATATATATACACAAATATCTAAATTTTAAAGAGCTTCCAAAGCAAAACACAACATAAATTAGTTAATAAAGGAATCTAAGTTGAAATTGAAAGTATCATTGTCGTTAGTGTTTTCATAAAAATATATATGCAAGTAAAAAAAACTAATAAAATACTTCAATTTAAAGCCAAACTATAAGTATAATGAAACATGCAAATCAAATATACACAAGACTTGACAAACCCTGTACATAAATATTCAGTTTGGCTAAAATCCAGATCCAGTTGTTTTAACAAAAGAGCATTGATCTGAAAAAGTTCAGGTCCAAAGACTATGAGAGAAAAATCAACCAAAGCATAACAACAAATCTTTGAAATGCACACAGAGAGATCGAAAACGACTCGAGATCTTTGAACCTATCGTACACTCTTACAAAAACACATAGGTTGTTTGAAAAATAAAATACAAGCTTGTCAGAAAGTGGGGCTTTTATTTGGGACACGTTTGCCTCGAAGGTTTCTGTTGTGTCCAATACTCAAAGTGTAGGTACTTTTTTAGAGACTAATGAGGCACATACATCTGATTTTAACTGTCCAAGTCGCTTAAACTCACTTCAATTTGTTGTGTTGTTTCACTCAATGCATTCAACTATAGCACAGTGTTGAAAACAAAAACTATTTCACATGTCAAAAACTGGTAGAATTGGATAACTATAGTAATAAGCGCACTGTACTTGTACTAAAAATGGTAACATTTAGCACTTTTCCAGAGTTCTTCATTTAAATAAAACACTTCTTTATTATATTTCATTGCAACTCTCAGTTGCTTTTTTTATTCCGCTGCTGGAAAGCAAGATCATTTGCATGCAAAATTCACTCGGCAAAACAAAAAGCAAATTCTTGCTCAGATGCTGCTCCATAATCAATGTAAGCAGTCATCCAGTGGCTCAGTTCAAGGCAAATATGATGATATGCCATCATGCAAATCAGCAGCAAAGCAAACATCAGGTTGTGACATGATACGTGATACTGAGCAGTTTTACTCGAATATTAAAATTTGTTCCGAAGGGATGTTCTCTGATAACCCTGAGTCATCTGTCACAGCCTTTAGAGCCCAATGCCTTCATCTATATGATTACAGGTGTCATGTCAGAAGCCTTGCAGCCATATTATTACTACTCCGCAATTAATCTTTTATTTTCTTTACGATGTTCGATTTTATATTTCTTATGAAGCTTTAAAAAAAAAAATCCATGCAAAAGAGTCAGTCAAATATAAAAAGCTATGAGAAGATAGCACTACCTTTCATCATCAGATTAATGACAATTTGCCCAAAGAATAAAAATCTCCTACACAGTGGGAAAACAAGTGAGGAAAACCAGCACTCTTTAGAGCTCTATAGGTTGGTCCTAACTCACAGACGAAACATAATTCAAGGTATATACGGAACAAAGAAAGTTGGTTTTTATATGACCGACATGGCATTTTAACATTTTTTTATAGCTTTTACACGCACATTGTTTGGGACATTTAACTTTAAAAGGCGAGCGCGATGATGTCACATTAACCCTTTCTTTGCAAATACTCCCTCTTAGTCCTACAAATGTTGCTTTTTTATGTACTTTATGCATTGCAACTACGGTACTTGTCCTTTTCCACTCATTGAGCATCACAGTGCTGTACGGCTTTTCTCTCAAATCCTCTCAGAATGCATTTCGCACATCCAAACTCATCTTGGAGCTCTGACTTCTCCCTCTAAGGCTAACTGACGCTAGCCACTAACAGGTTAACTTGTCATATCTACATGAAACATTGCAGACCCGTAAAAAGTGATGTGCGATGACCAGTGCTTCTGTTGTTTACAGTTCAGGAATTATTTTGTTACAAACTAGAGAAATGTGCATTTTCTGCAGGAAGTGCTGTTTGAATCCTGGGTGCTGAATGACTTTGCTGAGATATGTGGAAAAGGTAAAAGTAAGTTAAAATAAAAGAGAGCTTTCAATGTTAGTCGAGAAGTTTAAAGAAAAAATAAGACAGAAGGACAAAAAGTAGGGCAGACAGATAGAAAATCACAAGTAGATGAAAAGAAAAGGAGCATATTACTCATAAGGGGACAAAAAGACAAGAGTACCACATATCGTCATTATACTCCCATCAACAAATTATCATACAGCATTTATCATGTTTAGTGGAAAATCAGAACCCAAGTGCAAAAACCAAAACGCAGAGAACTTGAAGGTAAACTAAAGAAACAAATTTATTAACAAAAGCAAAAACAAAACGCAGACGTGGCTGCAAAAATACTCAAACAGAAGTACTGGAAGACTCATAACCTCAAAAAAACATGGATGGCTTAAAATGAGAAGGACAAGCTTTCAAGGGAAACTAATGAACGGGAAATGACAACACCTGGGGAGAGACAATGAGGATCAGGTGAGAGTGGGAGGGGCTGGAGCATGAGGGGAAAAGCACAGAGGAAGCTGGAAACAAGTAAAACAGAAATCCCAGAACCACATAAATACTAAACAATTACACAAAAGAAACGGATCATGACAACAAAACAGAAATCTATAGCAATAGCCCGGACAAGCAAAGACCTTGTATAACCTTTGACCTTGAATTGTGATCTTGACCTTAGAGCTTGGGTGATGAAAATAATATGCAACACTTTAGCTCGTGATGATTCATATGTGTATGAAGTTTCATTAAACTATATTGAACGGATCAGAAGTTATGAGTGGGACGAGAGAACGTTTAGACGTACATATGGACGGAGACTGTCATAATACGTCCACCTGTTGACGGGCATATAAATAAAGAAGCATAAGGTAATATAAAAAGACAAAAAGTACGTATAAGGTGACATCAAATAACAAAAAATACGTGCGTCATTTTCTAAAATCCTAATAGTCTCCAAAGAAGAACCTCTGGGCTGTAACTTTAATGGTGTCTCACCAAATGTTTTCAGAAACCTTTAATATAAAATGCTTTGAAACTGGACAACAAGGTGGCCAAAGAAACCCAGAAAGAGTTTCAGACATGCCTTTCAGGAAAGTCCACACACACACGCGCACACACACACCCATCCAAGTACTAACCTGGCCTGACCCTGCTTAGCTTCCAAGATCAGGCCAACGTTGGCCGGCGAAGCCGTTTGAGTTGGCTCAAACCATCCGCCAGCCTCAGCCTCCCAGTAGCTTGGATTACAGGAGTGCGACACCACATCTGGCAAAAGCTTAAGGCACCTGGTATTCCCAGGCAATCTCCTATCCAAGTACTAACCAGGCCCGATCCTGCTTAGCTTCTGAGATCAGATGAGATTGGGTATGGTCAGGGCAGTATGGCTAGTTCTCTGCATTTATTCCATCACACCTGAGATACATCCAGGTGGAGCAGTGGGCAGCTCTGTAAGCGCCCAGGGAGCAGTTAGGGATTAAGTGTCTTGCTCAAGGACACTATGACATGTGGGCATGACTGGGAGTCCAACCGCGACTTTCTGGTCCCAAGTCGGCTGGCCTACCTGTACACCATCTCGGCTATGTGCTGTTGAATCCTGCAAAAATAAAATCATGTTTGTTCTCCCACAGTTTAACCGGTGCATCACCTCCCAGCTGATCAAGTGGTTCAGCAACTTTAGGGAGTTCTACTACATCCAGATGGAGAAGTTTGCACGGCAGGCCATCAACGAGGGGGTGACAGCATCCGAGGAGCTGACGGTGAGCCGGGACGCAGAGCTCTTCAGGGCGCTCAACATGCACTACAACAAGGCCAACGACTTTGAGGTAAGCTGGTCCAGAAGAACTAGGAATAAAATAGTATGCCGTTTTACAATAAACAGGAATAAAACTATAACGTAAAATGGAAAAAAAAAAAAAATCTAGTACACACAAACGTCCTCCAAGTCAGCTGTTGGAAGCGCAACAGTCACCTCATGATTCTGCTGAGGTGTGGATGTTTCGGTGTGTGTGTTCGATGAGGCGAAAGAGGACGCCGCTCGAGGCGTGGGTGTCCTTGTCAAAGTGATTTGCAAAAGTCACATCCCCCCTCCTCCCCCATCGCTTTTTCCCACCCAGTATTGGTCTAAGGGGACCTGAGGGCCCTTAAACTACGCAAAGTAACATCAGCAGCATTTAGATGTCCATTAGCGCACACCTTCTCGCTGACACATACACTTGTCTTTTCAGCTCAATGAGATGAACGCTGAAGTTTAAATGACGAGGAGTAAGCTTTACACACAACACACAGCAAGGATCATAGCAGAAAATATACATAGCAAGTGCTTTGCATAGTAAGAGTCAGGTAGCTTTTCACAGGTGTGTATGTAAAAAGCATGAACAGGAAACAGACATGCACATGCAAATAGTCTGTTTATTTTGGCTGATCATCATGAGGGGTATTTTTAGGGCTTAAAGGGTGAGGGTTCACTCAAAGGTGAGGAATGTTTAGACAAAAATAATCATCTGCAGAATCAAAATTCACTTTGCCTTCTGGGTAAAAGAGTTCTTGTATGGGTTTTCCAAAAGTTGAGGGCTAAGATCCAGCTCAGAAAGACTTAATGGATGCAAACTAATGGTTGACTGAAAGGTGGGAAATCAATACAAATACTTGGAGCTAACGGGCTCATTTGAAGAACTACAACATGTAATTGTAATCAGTAGATGCTGATAAGGACACCAGAAGAAGGTTGTGTGTGTTCAATCAACTGAAGGTGTTTTTGCGCAGGGTACATATTCCTTTTCTTCCCTGACTTTGTCCCCTCTTCCCTCCCACCTCCCTTCTTCTTTTTATCTGTTCGCCCCGAGGAAACATTACTGGCTAGGGACAGTCTTCCTTTCTCCTTCCCTTTCGTCAAACTCAGAGGCATGAAACTGGAACCATGGCCGATTCAGCAAGTCTCCTGACGTACACACACATATATACAAGTCTCCTTTTGCCAAATTTAGCATCGTCTAAGTTCCACCTTGGTTTGTCCCCCATCATAGGTCTCTCCCTCCTCTCCTTCCTTTTCACTCCTTTCTTGCTCCATCCCTTCCTTCCTACCTTTGCACTATATGTGTCCTCTAACAATATGTGCAATCATCTCTCTCTATTCCAATTCTATTTTTCATATAATCTCCCAGTAGTTTTTATCTGCTTTTCTGTTCTTGGTGGCTGTTGATACTATTCAGGTTCAGGTACTGTGAGGGCCACATTAAAACCCATCCGTTGAGAACTTTTTACCAATTTGATTAATAGGAACAATGTTCAAGTTCACACAAGCCCAAAGCAGGATTCTTCCTCCATCACCTGCCAGCTGGTGCTATTTTCCACAAGATTTTGTCTCTAAAATAAATAATTACAACAAACTTGTGCTAACTGTGGCCAAATAACTGTATTAAGTTTATTAGTCTACAGAGTTTAGAGACAAAATGTTTTAAGCCCGTTTAGAAGTTCATTGGTAAAGTGCTGATGGTGAGTTTAGTCATCAATGCTTGAATTGACTCTTGATGACTTACATACAATAGAAGAGTCATGAAGACTTTTTGACTACACAAAAAGCCCAGAATTCTTTGACGAAATGCATTTTACACACTGCAGTTCATGCTAGAGGTTGAAGCTAAAATCATCTTCTGATAATAGATAGAATTATATACATTAAGGTCAAACCTTGTATATCATCTTCTTCTTTCGGCTTCTCCCTTCTTCAAGGGTCGCCAAAGCGAACTAAGTCGCACAAAGACATGTCAATTATTTTTACACCGGATGCCCTTCCTGATGCAACCACAGATCAGAGCTACCACGGCCCTCTGTGTGGAGCAGAGAGCTGTTATCTAGGGCGCCGGGAAAAGCAGATGGTGAGGGTTAAGGGCCTTGCTCAAGGGCCCAGAGTGGGGTAAATGAGGGTGGAGGCGGGTATGGGTGCTTCACCTATCCCACCCACATTTTGATGTTGCCGATACCAGGAGTTGAACCGGCAATCTTCCGATCACATGCCCACCTTCTCTAACCTCTGGCCACCACTCCCTAAGGTCAAAGTTTGTATGTAATATGCACAGTTTCTTGTAATATTGCAAGGTCTTGCTAAATATATTAGCACTCAGAAAACAGTATGTGCTGTGAATAGCTCATAGCTACAATCACACCAAATTTTTGGTTAATTTCTGTATCCTTAACAGAATATAT